ACGCATCAAGTTAAAAATAGCTGCAAGTGTACCATGACATGATGTAAAAACTGAGCAATTTTTTTTTTCAGCTAAAATTTTTACCTCGTGTCTCGTACAAGTAAATATTTCAAATTATACCAAAAAAAAATAATAATAATAAAATAAAATAAAATAAAAACGTTCCTGTTGCCTTTTAAAACCAATCACCCCTAAATTTTTAAAGCAAATTATAAACGCACGAGTACGTGCTACGGCCAGGTAGCAGTGCGCAAACGAAAAGGAAAAATTTCACGACAAGTTGTCTCTATATTGTCTGTACAGAGTATACGTGTATGCTATGACAAGGTGTGGAAAACAAGTCTCGCATGTTAATTATATATATACTACCTGATAGTGTCGGGGACTCTGCACTCGTGTACATGCCTACTGTGCGTGTCATACAGTGTTGAAGACTGTCCTGTGGTGCCCTGCAGCTTATGGTGCGGATAACTGCGTGAAAGGGTGACTCGAGAAACAAGCCCATCATAAATTATTTACCACTACATCTTTCGAACAATCGCAATCTCGAACAATACCGATCCTGAAACGATGCAGATATTTCTGCAATGGCCCAATATGATTTGTCTTTAGTTGTTTTTTCTTCAATTTTTCCACGCAAAAATCAAGATTAACAAATCGGTAACTTGACCGACGATAATTTAATCGCGATATCGGCGAGCTCTTCGATTTTGCGATGGATCTTTTTAATTGCGTTAATTTGGGCAGGGCTCCAAAGAGGCCTCAGCATACTGCTCATCCTGAAGGAATCGACTCAAACTCGACGATTCCATTATATCTATCGATCGTGACGTTGAAAATTAAAGTCAAAGAAAAACAAATTGAATTTTACCCCATCGCGTCTGAAATTTTTCATTTTTCGAAATATAAAAAAAAAAAAATTAATTAATTAAAAAATTGTCAACCCAGTTACAATAAGGTATATCCTGCGGTACATTTGGAGTGTATAGATATAGCGACATCGCCGACCTCGAACGCTATACTCATACTCTTGGCGCATGTTGCATTTGTATATATATATATATGTGCACGTATACATATAGCTTCGCTATACGGAGGGAAAGACGCAAGAGTCGAGGTAAGTACGCAGATAGTTTAGTAGTGAACGGAACGCCCGCCGGCAAGGCTACTTTATCGTCACACTTTTCGTTCCGTTGCGTCGAGATCAGTTACGACTGCGGTAGTTTTAACGTTTATCATTGCTTCGTACATTAAGCTTTTAATTTTTTGTTTTCTTTTTTCCGTCTTCATTTATCGGTGATCCATTGATTTTTAATAATAGTCCACAGTGCAAAGTGTGCTCTCAGGTTATACATCCAACTCGTGAGTGAAACTCTCTCTCGTTCGTTAATGTGTTGAAAAAAAAAAAAAAAAAAAAAGGTGATGACTGTGCCATACACGCTCGCATATACGCGCGTGTATGGGCAGTGTGAGTGTGTGTGCGCCTCATTTTATACCTTCGATGCGTGTACATTATACATTTTCGTTGCTACTTAGTTCGTGAATTAAATATGTTCTGATAATTTCTTTCACGAGTAACCGGTTCGACTGTGATGTACTCGTCGAACGACGTATACGATACTTATTATTTTTGGGTGCTCGTTAAAAAATTATCACTACTACTTTTACTTGTGATTTAAAAAATTAAAAAGTTATTGTCTACTCGTAACAAGAATATTTCACGAATCGAAATGAAAATATTGAATTTCCGAAGAACCTACATCCATCGGGACTTTCATATCGATAACCACATTACAAAACCAATCTGACAACTTCGATACGCTCCGAGGATAACGGTCTCTGTATATATTTAACGGTATCATACAGACTGCTTACATGGGCAAAAAAAAAAAAAGAGTTTGGACCCAAAACGCGTTTCGAATACCAATATGTAAATGCAAAATCCTCTGGTACTATGGTGCCAGAAAAACCTTACGTGCATTGTATCATGACAGCTACAACAAGCCGCAAAATCAAAACACAACTTTCGCGATTGCGGAATTTAAAAGGTATAACCCGTAAAATAAAATATTGGAACATCATGTTGTTATTTTTCTCGCGCATTCCACAGCTGCATTATGTACAGCACGTGAAGCTCAGCCCGTGTTACGCCGATCAATACTGTACCATAGCAGCTGCTGAAACGTGACGTGATTCAAGGTCGCGGTACTTTGCATTGTTTGATTGTTTTACCAATGAAAATTCGAGATTATACGATTTGAGTAGGTGATCGCGGGGCACCTTCTCTTACGCGTTTCGTTGAAAAATCGGTAATCACGAGATGTAGAGCTATACTATACAGGCACGTGTTAATGTTTACGAAACAAACAGTGATCTACGACACCTGACACGCTTTGCCAATTAAATGTCAACTTTCGATGAAATTGGAGACCTTTGACAACAAACGGATTGATTGATTTACACTTCTCATTTGACGAAAATAATTCATTTCAAAACATTACCGATAAAAACAACAATAGAAAAAGTTCATGACCAATAACAATGATAATATGATGTCGATAATGCATGGATATATAAAAGCGCGTGATGATTGCCACAATGTATTTTGAACGAGTTATTAAATGAACGATGAGAAAATGCATAGAAGTGCTCGAAAGCATCGTTGCATTTAAAGATGTGACTCAAAGTGATAAAGGTAAACAAGAGAGATTTAAAAATTATTCTTTAAAGGTTGAGTCAACTGTTGCCTATCACAAGCTTGCTGATGATTTTATAGAAAAATGCAATCATTCCCATTACAAAAACTCTTTCTCAATAACTGCATCACCATAAAAATTGTCACTTTGAATTTTGCCACGTAATTAACCATAAGTTTTGGATTCATGGACTTTTTCATAAAAAAATTTAAAAAACGTGTTTTCACTCTGAACAATAAAACGTTCATACTTGGGACTGAACTGACAAAAGTGTATTTTCGCTGTATGATGTATGAATGGACCCTGTGAATAGCAAAGCAAAAGCAAAAAAAAAATTTACTTTTAGGCGTTGACTGACGAAACTCACGATGCAAAGTTAAGGAACTAAAGGAAGAAGAAAGAGTGGAATTTTTTTCGCAAGAATACAACTGAATAATCGGTAGAAAAAAAAAAAAGAAAGAAAAGATGTACTACAATTCGGGACCCAGTCCCAACCCCAACTACGGGTGGAGCGCACATGTCGTGGAGGAGCCGATGATTGTTCGCGCACAAGCTAAAAAAGTCGAAGTAAGTATTTCCGGTGATTTACACTCGCCCACGCAGTCAAGTACGGGTTTATGCGTTCGTTCGGCGTATCAAGAAAATATATCGGATTTCAAAAAGGGTACGCGAGCGTCGTCGACGTAAACTTGATCTTACTCGGAATCACGGCTTATTAATAGAATTAATCGTTGTTGTACTTGGATTCGCTGCACTGGCACATGACCTGGTTGAGTTTTTATATTCTTGCGGCAAAGCGTAGTGGCGCTATTCTACATCGACTCGCGATCAATTCAAAATATAGACGATAATAATCAACGCGCGATACTTCAAACACATTGAAAACACATTGGATGACTTTTTATCCTAATTTAATGACAAAAAGTTTGCTTCGTTATTGACTACTCATTTTTTGAAAATTGATTATTTTCACATCAATAACTGCCGTATCTCATTGATCACAAAAAATATAGCACACATCACCAGTTAGATTCTCACTCTTCGACAGATTTTTTTGTAACTTTTATTTATGTAAGCGCAGAGTTACCACAACTTTATATCGAGATTCTTATGCTAACGATATTTTTATGCGTTTGCGGAAGCTTGACAATTAGAAAGCTTAAAATTAATGGGTATTCGTATTGATTATTACGAAACATAATAGCGATTGGTAAACTTGTTTCAACAATAGAGGGGGAAAATGGTCCATAAGTTAATGGCACCTTATAAAACAGCACTTTTTGTATCTATAGCTATACTATACTTAAAAGTAAACATCAGAGCTCGCTAAACTGTCAGATCGATGAAAAGCCCACTTTTGTACATACATGTACCGGTATTTTACCCCCATCAGCACCAATAATAGTCGATTAGCGTCCAAGGCCGACTCTGCTTCCTCATTGCATCAATTTAATCGTTTGAAAAGCCGTGTAAGTTATACATGTATAATACATGAATGCAACGAGCCGCATGAGAGCAAAAGATAAATTCTGCGCTACAGAAACGGACCCGTGCTTGCATATACATGTATACGTATGATTCATCAGGTGAACTGCAACACTGTACTTGACAAAGTAAATATGACATAAGATTTATAACTAATGTCACTAAATATACAATATATACTATGTGAAAAATAGAGACACACTAATTGATAAATTGATAAAACGTTGGTCCCGAACAAACCTTACATTCAAAATACGGTAATGATTTATTTGAGTTTTCAACTCATTGTTGATGAAAAATATATCTACTACTTTTTTCTCGTATCTCCCTGTTCTCAAATCAAACAATAGTCTTTGAGAAAAAAACCCTATTCGAAAAATTATGATTACTTTTTATCTAAGATTCGATTACAAGAATCTCTGGATGTGTTTGCTTGTTAAAATACGCCGAAAAAAAAAACTTATCATTTGGGAAATTCAAAAAAATTAAAACTCAATTCCTAATGATTTAGAAATCCATTGCAAACGATAATAATGAAGAACCTTTAAAAAAAGCACAAGAAATAATGCGTCATCCTAATTGATTTATCTTAAAAAATTTATTTTACGTTAGAGAAGGAATTTTTTTAAACCTCTAGGGACTCAATTTAAGTAGGCGATTTGTAGGATTGATCATTAATCAGTTGCACCGTTATGTAGTTCAGTTGGTCGTAACAATATTTAAAAAAAAGAAAGAAAAAAAAAGACACATAATAGACATTTGGCGTACTCTCCATGGGACGATAAGCTGCATATCCCACGATTGAACATAAAACACGTGGCTCATGACGCGTCTCTTTTCCAAAGCCAACATCGTTAAGTAATAGAGTTCTCAACATCTATACTGCAATAGTTCTATGTAATTGTGCTCAGCAACTCCACAGCTGAACTATCCATATCTTTAATTACCTCAGTCTACTATCACAATAGACATCAGGTATGTGGAGGGAGCGACTCTCTCTCTCTCCCTCTCTCCCTGGTCACGTCTATTTTACTCTTCTTCCATCCGTGCACTAGTAGTTGCTCAGCACTGAAATAAATTCCTCGTGGTCAGTTGCTTCTTGGCTTTTCTCGCACTCACGCGGCCCTTGGTTCATTTTCATTTTTATTCACTCACGAGAAAGTTTCAATTCACAGTTAATTTCACATCAAAGAATCATCCGCGTTGAAGACACTTGATACACTTTCGATACTATCTTATTTACGAAATTGTCTCCGAGTGTGAAATTATATACTACTCTAGTGTTTGTATATTCTTGTCGTCATCGTCAGTTTTTTTATCGTTGGATTTCGAAAACTTTATTCAATTACCTTATACTTTTTACGAGTGTAAAAAAGTGGAAATTTTATTAGAATCAGAACCCATCAACTTCAAAGCAGATGATCCATGTAATATAAGTGTGGACTTGACAAAATGCCATGAGTCTGTTTTGACACATACCTCTTATTACTTGAGAATTCGACAAACTCACTGGTATTAAAGATTGGACTTTGGTTCTTCTCTTGGAGCGTTGTTCAAATTAATTGTTTTTTTTCCAAAATATTACCGTTAGTTTTTAACAACGAAAATAAAATCCTTGGAAGTTTTTTCCTATACCCATCGCGAATCGAGTGTTGTGGACAAATAAAACCTGGACAGCAGATAGAATCAGTGAATACACAGAAGAGAGTGAAGTAAAAAATTAGTCTTGGAGATGGCAGAGCACGACAATGGCTACGGCAGGCCGACCCTGCCCAGCCTCGACGTCTTCGTCAAGACAATCGTCGAGGTCAAGCGCGTCCTACCATCCCTCCAAAACATCAAAGTGGTACGCACTGGTCTCCGCCAGCTGGCTGTTTTTATTAATCGTTACACAATTTTCGTCGTCCATCGCATCATTTACAAAAGTAACAAGTTTACATATTACATCTGCCCCCAGTAGTCATCGTCCAAAGTGACAGTAAGAAGAACACCGATGAGTCAATAAGCGTCGGCGCCTTCATCCATAGGTGATAGGTGGTACATGTATCATCGTGATCTAACACTCGAAGCACGCAGCTAGCGTTTTTTCTTTTTTTCTCCTTCTCTCTTCTCTAATACTGATAATATCGCGTTTTTCTCGGCGCGTTAATAAAGAACATTATTTATACATGCAAGGAAAGATATAATCGCTCCGTGATCGCACGTTGGCCATCAGCCGTACACTGAATACAACTGCAGCGGTGCAGGTTGAGGGATTGGCGCTTCACTTCTCTTCCTTTATTGTGTATGCACGCAAGACCGTATAATCTTGGAGATTCGCGCGTTGAAATACAATCGGCTCGCTGATTTGTCAATCCCAATCCTCATCTGTAGCCGTATGACCATCGCTTGCACCGACACGAGCCCAACGGTTCACTTACCTTTTTCATTTGCATTCAACAACAATTTATCGTCAACAAAGTAATTTGTTTTGAACGTGACCTCGTAACTCAACAGGGGAAATCGCGTGTCAGCCCAGCCCATGCGTGTACCTTCAATCGTGTGATTACAGCAATAGTCACACCCTTAAGGCACCCATTTTTTCATCCATCCGAGTGTGCCTCGTATCGATCAAGTGGCCGTTAATCAAGGTTTTATAGTCACAGCGTTTAACTTTCTTTTCCAGGAGTAAAAATGATCTTGATGAACCACACCATTATTATTGTCCTAGTTTTTCCAAAATAACAACTCAAAGTAGCCCGTATCGCTTTTGAGTCTAGCCGTCGACTTGCAATGTAAAGGCGTGTCGCATAACTCTCTTTGTGTTACGTTACCATTCCGAGTAATTAATATGCAACTGGTCCCTTGTGTGCACTGAACAACACGTCACGCGTGTTTGTAATGCAGAAACGTTAAAAAAAAAAAAAAAAAAAATTGGCACGGTTTTTTTTGGCATTCGTTTGCAACACTTTGCTCAGTTGCGCAATTTAAATTCATCCCAGTTTCATATGCTATAAGGTGACAGGTTTGGATGATTTTCACGTGAAAAATGGCGTAATTCTTTTTTTTTCTTTTTTTTTTATCTTTACAAAGCTTTCTTCATTTTGGACTTGTTAGAGATCACTCTGAATTGTTAAGGAAGAAAAATGTCACGTGACGAAATCACGTAATAATATTACGGGGGAGGAAGTTCAGGGCAGTACGAATCCAGAAAAATATTTCCAGAAAAGTGCGTGCGAACAAATAGAAATGTTTATTACTCACGTGATGATTATTTTAAAGATCAATTTAAACCATAGCAAAAAAATGTTTTCTTGTGAATGATCGAATACAATTTTCTTGGTTGTAATAATTTTTAAAATATCTTTAAAATCACGTCTACATGAAAAATGATTAAGCATTTCTATAAAAAACTTTTTCAACGATCTCCCACTTTGATGAAACTTACACCCACTCAACAAAATCACGTCAAAATCAATTACTTGGATGCAATTTGCGATACTTAACCGATTGGGATAAAATGATGGAGAAAAATTTCAGTATCCTTTGATTGAAATGTTAAACGTACTTGCAGCTTGGCGAGACGGGATCCGGAACAAAGTCAAAAGGTCAAACCCAAGACTTTCACCAGCTCAGACAGCAATGCCTGGACGAAGGCTATCTCTTCGAGGACCCCGAGTTCCCAGCCGTGGACTCGTCCCTATTTTTTTCTCGCAGACCGGACAGATACATCGAATGGAAACGTCCTATGGTACGTGATTTTTGTCGTCACCCTTGCAATCTAATTTCCTCACCGAGTCACGGTTTTCTCTTGACCCGCAGGAAATAGCCGACGACCCCCAGCTCTTCGTCGAGGGCTTCTCCAGGTTCGACATACAGCAGGGCGAGCTCGGCGATTGCTGGCTGCTCGCCGCCCTGGCCAATTTGACCCTCCACTCAAATTTGTTCTTTCAAATCGTACCTGAAGACCAGAGTTTTGAGGAAAATTACGCCGGCATATTCCACTTTAGGTATAACTAAGTACGCTTTTATCGAAACGAAAAAAAAAAAGCCCACCCCAAAAACGGCACTACAAAAGAGCAAATCAACGATTTCTCTAGATTTTGGCAGTACGGCAAGTGGGTGGACGTCGTCGTCGACGATCGCCTGCCAACGTATCACGGCAAGCTGCTGTACCTGAGCTCGGCCGCGGAGAACGAGTTTTGGAGTGCATTGCTCGAAAAAGCCTACGCCAAGCTGCACGGCTCCTACGAGTCCCTCAAGGGTGGCACGACCTGCGAGGCCATGGAAGACTTTACCGGAGGTGTCACGGAAAATTACGACATGGAGGAGGCCCCGCCAAATCTTTACAGCATTTTGCTCAAGGCGTACGAGAGAAACTCCCTCATGGGTTGCTCGATCGAGGTACACATACTTGATTGTGACGGAGGGTGATAATGAATTTCAATTGATGCGTCCCTTGACGTTGCAGCCCGACCCAAACGTGTTGGAAGCCGAGACGCCACAGGGCTTGATTAGGGGACACGCCTACAGTATCACCAGAGTGAAAAAGGTGAACATTCAGACGCCGAACAACATTGGGCAAATTCCTCTGATAAGAATGAGGAACCCGTGGGGAAACGAAGCTGAATGGAATGGCCCTTGGAGCGATGGGTAATTTTTTTTTTTTCTTTCATTTTTTTTTATATGATTCACCAAACGATGAACATGTGCACAGATCACCCGAATGGAGATTCATTCCCGACGACGAGAAAGAGGAATTGGGCCTGACGTTCGACGTTGACGGTGAATTCTGGATGTCCTTCCAGGATTTTAAAAAGTACTTCACCAGATTGGAAATTTGCAACTTGAATCCGGATTCCTTGACGGAGGACGATTTGAACGCCGGAAAAAAAAAGTGGGAGACTAGTGTGTTTGAGGGCGAATGGGTGAGAGGAGTCACTGCGGGTGGTTGCAGAAATTTCTTGGGTAATCTTCGCCAACTATACGTAAAACAGAAGGATTCTAATAATGGATATGCGGATGTGGTAAATGATTTTCATTGCAGAAACTTTTTGGTGCAACCCGCAGTATCGTATTACGTTGGAACATCCAGACGAGGACGATGACAAGTGTACCGTCATCATCGCGTTGATGCAAAAAAACAGAAGAGCACAGCGGAGTTTGGGTAACGACTGTCTCACCATCGGTTTCGCTGTCTATCATGTGAGTTCGATTGCAATTCTCGTCTGTTGTTATATACATATATGTATATATTATCCAGTGTACTTGTACAACGGGGGTATTTTTGTGTTTCAGCTGGAAAATCCAGATAGGCTGCCGAAACCATTGGACATTAACTTTTTCAAGTACAACGCGTCCATAGCTAGATCACCGTCGTTCATTAACTTGCGAGAAGTGAGTTGTCGCTTCAAATTACCACCTGGAGTTTACTGCATAGTTCCCAGTACGTTTGATAAAAATGAAGAAGGGGAATTCTTACTCCGAATATTCTCTGAAAACAAAAATAATATGGAGTACGTGCACTGTTGTCTTGTGTCGCAATGTTGTCATCATCGTAGCAATTTTATAATTTTATTTATTTTTTTTTTTTTTCATTGCAGAGAAAACGACGATGAAGTTGGAATTGGTGAGGTTGACGATAGGGTATGTGCAAAGATAATTTTCATCTTTATTAATGTAACGATAGCACCGATCAGTAGATATTAATGAGTTGAAGTATTTAAAGTTTCTTTTACTAACAAAAAAAAATGTGTAATATAAATTTTCTTGATTTTCTGTAATTTGATATTTTGTTTTTGATGCTTAACTCGAATGCACAGTTGATAATAGGTGTTTTGTTGATGTATTTTGTAATTAATACGTAAAACTGCAACTGCAAAAATATTAACGGTGTCGAACGCTTCGACGCGACTCGCACACGTCACGTTGCTTTTGGCTTTTAGGTAATTCACCCAACTGAAAATAATATCAGTGATGAGGACAATAAGGTTTGTAATATTTGCACCGTTTGTCTAACGACTCTAACAACCCACGTATTCACTCACATAACACTTAACAAAATGCCATACAATGTATACAAGTATTTTTTTTTTTTTTTTTTTATGATAAATTAATACCCAATAAATAATATTATAGGTACAACCGGCTCCGGTTAGCGGATACGACGAGAAAGTGCACGAGTTCTTCAAAAAACTCGCCGGTGATGATATGGAAGTCGACTGGAAAGAGTTGAAGGAGATTTTGGATTATGCACTGCGTCAAGGTACAATTTTATTTTATTTAACAGTTGAAATAAAAAAATGTAGAAGAATTTTTGTAGTATCAGTAATTATTTTGCACACCAAAAAGTTATTTTCTCAATATCTTTGTTTAAACAAATTTTTTTTCAAAAAATATCGCGATTCAGAAAATTAATTGAGTTAATTAAATTTTTCTGAGAAACACAACCGCGATTTGTTTGAATTAAAAAAAATATCAATGCATACATATGATACAAATATTCATAAACCAAATATACATAATTATAACTGTATTTATTTAATAAGAGTTAAGCAGTACTTGCTCTTTCTACAAAACTTTTAGTTTTTAAACCAGAATTGCAGGATAGAGATTAGGCGCGTCTACACAAAGTATCATTGACCAAAATACTACGTTTCGTAGAAAAAAAGCATACCTAATAAATGTCCATTTTGAGCCACTACTTATTATTGTAACTAATATTTACAGTATCGCATAACATACGCATGCGCATATATACTTTTGTGGACGTATTGTACACAACTTGAAACTAAACTTTCACGTTAGAAAAAAAACAATTTTCATTGAATCAAACAAATAACGTCATCCATTAATTTCATCTTCTAACGCAATCTAATACTTACGCTCACATTATTTCTTTAAATTAATTTATTTCCATACTAAATAAAGAGTTTCACATGCATTTATTTTTCTAAAAATTGGCATTAATGGTAAAATGACATGATTTCACGTAAGATAATTTATTTACTCAATATTTCAGATATTTCTCATTTTAACAGACTACTGTATGTTTTATAAAAACGTTATTTTAATGCGAACATTTAAATGTCCTTGATTAATTACTTTTTTTTAAATCTGGGTCTTGGGAATGGATGTAACAAAACATACACAACGAATCAATTGTTATCGTTTTACTTAAGTGTTTGAGTGGATTTTCGTTTCAGTATTGCACATACCTACACACTTTGTGTTTCATTTCTTAGTTGCATCAGTTAAATTTAGTGCCCACATAGCTGCATAAAATTCTAATTGAAAAAGTGGAATAATTGGAGCTGTGCTAAAATTTAATTAACTTCTATGAAGTCATATCGAAGCTTTTTAACCCAGATGGTGTGTATAGTTGCATTAACCATTCATTAAAACATCGCTAAAATAACAACCGCTTTTCATAAATACATTTGGGTCTGTCATTACTTGTTGAGAATGTATTCGGGATGTGCTCAGTATACTCTTTTCTTAACAATTTTTAATATCAGACGTGAATTACGTGTTCAAAGCCGCATAAAAAAATCTTATTTTTCTGTTTTTCAATGTATACGTATTTTTTTCTTTCTTCCCCCACGAATGTACATTTTAAGAATTTTCCATTGTGTTGTCTCCAAGAAGCGATTCACTAATATGTACATTTGTATTTTTTATCGCTTACAAACATAAATTAAGTATTTTTTCTTTTTTTTGAAGTTTCAAGGTACGAATACCGCAGAAAAACTTTGATTTTAAATATAGCGTGAGGTGTGTTTGAAGAATAAAAAATACTAATGTACCCAAGAGTGGATTTTGCAAATTTTCAGTCACTTATGCTTCCTCGAGCCCCAATCTGCTTATCTACAAAACGTTTTCCGCACCGATAAAACAAAATGGAAAATATATACCCGATGATTATATTGCAAGGGACGTTTATCATTAAGACCCAAATGCACGTATGATTTAATCCTAACACGTAGCTGTGTGTGTTAATGGGTAGAACTTCCACGACCGAAGAACGAGGTTCATAATACCGAAACCCCTCAAGAAGACGGTTCCTTCGTCGATACGTTAATATCCCTGCTCTGTGGTATTATTTGTAATGATAAAACCGAACAGGACGATAGTAAGACTGAAATAGGTAAAGTATCACAATCTCCCTCTATCTCTGCCTCTCTCACGTTTTCTATGCAGATCTTTTACAAATAATATCACACGTGCGCGATACTTTCGCGAGACAGATTATATCTTTTTTTCCTTGGAATTTTCATCGTATACCAGCACATTCATCGCACTTAAAAAAAAAATCTTTTTTTTTTTTTTTTCTTCTTTTTAAATACGTCGCTCTTTGTTTTTCATGCAAAATATGCTTGCTATTTTTCGTTGAGATGCTTTGATAAATTTGCGTACTTTTTTTTCTTAGCCTGGAAAGAAAAATGCGGTGGCTAAGACAAACGATTTTTCTTCACAGGCGTAGTTGTCGCTTGGAAAATTCAATAATGTTTTCGTATTTTGTAGAAACGCACGACCAAGGCTTCAGTAAAGATATCTGCCGGAGTATGATCGCTATGCTCGATACCGACCATAGCGGAAAACTGAATTTCGAGGAGTTTAGGACATTGTGGAACGACATTAGAAACTGGAGGGTAAGTATATTTACCAACTTGAGTTTAAGCATCAATTTTGCGTATAAAATTAAAATAACAAGTTGTTTTTTTTTTCTTCCCCCGTAGACCGTCTTTCGTCTGTACGACCGTGAAGGTAAAGGCTACTTGGACGCATTCCAGCTCCGACAGGCCCTGAACAGCGCCGGTTACCGATTGAACAATAGAGTACTCAATATTTTGGTACACCGATACGGTACTAAAAAGGGATTAATATCGTTCGACGATTACATTATGTGTGCCGTCAAGTTGAAAACTATGATCGGTAAAGAAATCACGGAATACGATTTAATAAATTTGTTAGATTATCCCGAAAATCCTTACTCCCAGTAGAACAACATTGTTGTGCATGAAACTCACTTGGTTATGGTTGTTGAATCTCTAAACGATTTTACAGTCTTTTTGTTAGGATTTATTTGTATTTTTTTTTTTTTTTTTTTTTTCATTGCAGAGAAAACGACGATGAAGTTGGAATTGGTGAGGTTGACGATAGGGTATGTGCAAAGATAATTTTCATCTTTATTAATGTAACGATAGCACCGATCAGTAGATATTAATGAGTTGAAGTATTTAAAGTTTCTTTTACTAACAAAAAAAAATGTGTAATATAAATTTTCTTGATTTTCTGTAATTTGATATTTTGTTTTTGATGCTTAACTCGAATGCACAGTTGATAATAGGTGTTTTGTTGATGTATTTTGTAATTAATACGTAAAACTGCAACTGCAAAAATATTAACGGTGTCGAACGCTTCGACGCGACTCGCACACGTCACGTTGCTTTTGGCTTTTAGGTAATTCACCCAACTGAAAATAATATCAGTGATGAGGACAATAAGGTTTGTAATATTTGCACCGTTTGTCTAACGACTCTAACAACCCACGTATTCACTCACATAACACTTAACAAAATGCCATACAATGTATACAAGTATTTTTTTTTTTTTTTTTTT